AGAAGCACGAGCCGAAAACAAGTTGGCCAGACGTTTCTCAGACCATCGCGCCAGCATCCCCAATGACGTTATGCTTGAATTGCAAGCCCTCGAGGGCGCTCCGTCCTCAGAGTTGCGCGCCGTCAGCGCTGCTCCTCAGCGCGCTGCATTGAGCGGACCTCTGCAAACGCTCGTCGAGGACGTGAAGCAGTTTGGCCGGATACCCAGGCAGAATAAAGGAACGTCTGAAAAAGAACGGAAGGAAAACAAGTTGGCCAAACGTTTCTCGGACAATCGCAAGAGCATCCCCAATGACGTTTTGCAGGAACTCCAGGTCCTCGACGGCGCTACGGAGACCGAGGAGCTCAAGCGGAAGCAGAAGACCGAGGAGATCATGCAGCACGTGCGAGACCTCGGCCGCTGGCCGAAGGAGACTGCCGGACGCCCCGTCGCAGAGCGGCAGCTGGGCTGGCAAGTCCGGAAAGCACGGAAGGCCAAGCAGTTCTCCCCGGAGCAGGAGGCCGAGCTCCAGGCTCTCCAGCAGGCGGACACGAAGCCCGACGAGCTCCTGCAGAAGACCGAGGAGATCATGCAGCACGTGCGAGACCTCGGCCGCTGGCCGAAGGAGACTGCCGGACGTCCCGTCGCAGAGCGGCAGCTGGGCTGGCAAGTCTGGAAAGCGCGGAAGGCCAAGCAGTTCTCCCCGGAGCAGGAGGCCGAGCTGCAGGCTCTCCAGCAGGCGGACGCGAAGCCCGACGAGCTCCTGCAGCAGACGAAGACTGAGCAGCTCATGCAGCAGGTGCGAGACCTCGGCCGCTATCCGAAGGAGTCCGCCGGGCGCGCCCTCGCAGAGCGGCAGCTGGGCTGGCAAGTCCGGAAAGCACAGAAGGCCAAGCAGTTCTCCCCGGAGCAGGAGGCCGAGCTCCAGGCCCTCCAGCAGGCGGAGAGCGAAGCCACAAAAACGGCTCGCATCGCGGAGGCGGAGGACCTTCCAAACCCTATGGAAGGGTTCGCTGAGGAGGCGCAGAACAGGATCGACCAGGACCTGCTCATGCTCGAGAGTGGCATCCGGACCAAGGCAATCCTGCGGCGCCTGGCCGCCTACAAGGAGCTTGTGTCCAGCCGCGGTGCTACTCAGCCTGCGCAGCACAAAGAATTCGCGCAGCGGTACGCGGAGCGAGTGCGCAGGGCGTCGGCCGCCCCCGCGGGGAAGAGCTGCTACGTTCCCGGCGGCGAGGTGGAGGGGGACCAGCTGCGCGTCTTCTCCGCCCGTCCCTTGATGACGGGGCCGCTCGCGTGCCAACTCTGCGAGTGCGACTTTCTTACAGGGGGGGACTTTGTGCGGCACAAGCAGCAGGCCCACGCGGGCGAGGCCGAATACCGTAAACGGGTGCTGTTCCTAATGGCGGAGGTCGGCTGCAGGCCGATAACCGCGCAGGAAAAGAGGCTCATGGTGCAGAATTTTGTTCACTTCCAGCAGTTCTGTCACCCGGGCAGCAAGGGCAACCGCTTCTCCGGCAACGAGGTAGTCCCCCGATGCGAGGCAGCCTGCGTAGTCTGTGCGCAGAAAGACTACCTGGAGCACCGCCACAAACTGAGCCTGTTCGGCGCAGTGCCGGAAGAGCGTGTATTCGAGCATTGCGGACACTCTGCAAGCGATCAGGACGACGTGTCCGAGGGCGAGGCAGATGCCCGACCCGCGCGGACCCTGGTGAAGCACCGAGGGGTGTACTACTTGCAGTCCCCGGAGCTCGTGCAGAAGCTCCTGGACGTGGACAGGTACAGGCAGCGGTGGCCTTTGATCCCGTACGAACAGCTGCACGCCTCCAGCGTTCAGCACCCGGAGCACCCAGAGTGGCGGTGGCTGCTGCACTCCCGTCGAGTTCCTGTGGTAGCCCCACCAGAAGCAACGACGGACACCTGCGGTGCTTCTCAGCCTGCCCCCGACAGGCCCGACGGAACTTCTCAGCCTGCAGACGAGAGGCCTCCGTGCGCAGGGGTGGGAGATGCCAACGCGTTGGCGTGGGTCTGTTGGGAGTGCCTCAATGACCTGTGCGCCAAGAAACCGAAGATGCCGTTAAACGCCCTGGTCAACGACAACTGGATCGGCCGGGAGCTCACGCACGTCCGCAACGCTTCGAAGACTACTAAGATGCTGTCGCCCCTTGGCCGATGCTGTTGGAAGCAAGTCCGTCTCGGCAAGGGCGCTCTGGATGTCCAGCAGAAAGGCGCCTCGGGCAACGCCATCCTCTTCGCCCAGCCCACGGCGCAAATCCCGTCCATGGAGCTGCCCCCGGCGGAGGGCGCGCTTGTGGACTCTCTCAACGTCGTCTTCTCGGGCGCCGCGCACAATCTCAGCAAGGCGCACTGGGCAACAGTCAACCGAGCCGAATACATGCAGATCGTGAAGGAGCGCAAGCAGCAGTGCACAACTTTTTCCGAGGTGCCCATCCGAGAGGACGTCGCCCCGACGCGGCTGCCGGAGGACGGCGTGCCAGACCACATCCAGGCCTGTCTGCAACCGGTGGATGGCGCCGACAAAGCCCCGGCACGTTTGTTGGGGCCAGCATCCAGAGCGCCGGAGGTGGGCAGAGACGACGAAGCGGGAGACGAGTCTGACAAGGAGGACGAGTCTGACGAGCAGAAAGAGACAGACCAAGACGGACAACCACCAGAACAGCCTGACATGGCCTACCTGCATGAGAATGTGGCAGAGTTCACAGTTTCAGTGGATCCAGTGCATGACGTCGCTCCAGTCCGAATGATGCAAGCGCTGCAAGGCACGCTGGCGGCACTGCAGGAGCAGGCGGCACGCATCGCAAAGAACGAGGCGACACCGACAGTGGCAGACAGCAGCGGTGCTCTTCAGCCTGTTGCCGACGAAGGCGGCAGGTATACTATGCGCAGCATGGTTCTCGATGTGCAGAGTGCTGCTCGTTCGTTTGACGAGCGAGCGCAAGTGGTGCTGGAGACAGCGCAAGCAGGAGCAGACGCGTGCAGGGCGGTGGGCCCGCACTCCTTATCGGTGCCTACGCAGAAACCCTTGAGTTCTTTCATCCACTTCAAACGCTTCCGTGAGCACGCAGTGAACGTAGATACCAGAATCTCATTTGAAACTGCATTCGTTGATACCGAGTGCTTGTTTAAACTCACATCCGTCGATTGCAGACTTTGATGCAAAAGTCTACAATGAGAGTCCGAGTTGAATATTAATGAAATCGCCATCTGAATCTAAATGATGGTGCACACATATATGCTTTTACACATCGCTGTTAGGTTGCTTTGCTGGGATAATTTCGGCCTTTGGGGGCCCTCGCCAGGCCTCGGGACCGTCGGAAAACGACTCGGGACGAGAAACCGGTCTTGGGGAAGGGGTCGAGACTTCTGGGGGTCGACGCTTTAAAAAATCACGACGTCGGGGGTCCAAGTATGGGGACGCCCAGAGGTTATTGAATCGCTTCGCTCATTCCGCCGGCCCTCGAGCGCTCTATGGGGCCTCTTTGAAGCCTCTTGGGGGCCTCTCTGGGGCCTCCTAGGGGCCTCTTGGGGGCCTCTTGGGGGTCTCTTGGGGCTCCTTGGCGGCGTCTTGGGCCCCCCTTGGGCCTCTTGGGTGGCTCTTGGGGGCCTCTTGGGGCGGGGTAGTCGAGTGCACCTCCCTCGGAGGCCACGATCCTCGTGAGGGGTGTCGAAAAGAGGCCCTCAAAACCATCTCTGATCCGACCCTGCCAGGGATCGCCCGGGGTACTTTTCGCCAGGGGGCCCCCAGGGGCTGCCCCGCGCGCGCGAACTAGAAGTATTATTTAGCAGTTACCGGAGATCTTAGCACGCCTCTGGCCCGTTGGGCCGGCGAATTTTGGTCATGTCCTAGGCCCGCTTGATTATGAGATCTTCGATCGTATGTCTCTTCCCTCCTACCCTCCTCGCCCTCGCCTTCCTGCTCGAGCGAAGCTATGCTGCTGAGGATGTATGTGTTGCCCCCTCTGGCGGCCCGCTCTATGGCCCGCTCTATCCGCACCACACCGAGTTCGCGGCCTGATTGCGAGCCCTGGGCTGATTCGGATTGGGTGGATTCGATCTTGCTGTCCCGGGCAACGATGTCGGGCAATAAGCTAACAGTAGCAACCGTGCAACTTGCTTCTGGCAGTACTGACATCGCCCTTTGTATTCGACAGCACAGCACTGCATCTGACTGCTGCGGCACCTTGAAGAGATGTGGCCGCAAAACCCGTGCCGAAGGAACCGCGCCCTGGCGGTGTGGATGTGCCGTGGATTGCGTGGATAAATACGCGTGCCATCCCAGGGATCCTCCGACATGACGTTTCCAACCCGTGGCCCCGAGGCTCCCGACTCCTCTTGACCCTCGGGGCAGCCCTGCGTCCCAGGCCCGTTCTTGGTGGCCCTGGGGCCGGACAGCGGGCCCCGCGGAGACCCGGGTCTGCGCACAGGCAGGCCCCCGGCGGGTGGTCCCGGCTGGCCCCCGCAGTGCCCCGCGGGGCCGCCTCGGCAGCCAGGGCCCAGGAGCACTCCGGGGGCGCGGAGCCCTCCGGGGGCGCGTGCGGGTGCGTTGGGCCCGCCCCGGGCTGCGGCAGGTTCGTGCCGCGTCGGCGCGGCTGCGGCTCTGGCTGCGGGCGTTCAAGGTTGGGCGCCGACGGTGGCCCAGGATCGGCCATTGCGCAACGATTTGGCACCCGAACTCCAGCCGCCGATCCTCCAGGGTTCAGCGACCCACCTGGCGTGATCAACGCCGGGGTCGTCACGACACGAAGCTGCCGCAGTCGCGCGGCAGTGTAAAAGCATCGCGCATGCTTGGGCGGCGGCGCAGGCTTCGCTTTCGATGTGGCATGTTTCACGTGTGCTTACTGCGTTTGATGTGCTGTGCGGCATGTGCAGGACAGAACGTGCGCTGATTATGGGCAGCTCGATAGTCACAGCGACTCCATAGTGTGATTGTTCATGGGTGGTTTGCCATCCAGAGCTGGCTACAATCCAAAAGGCTCGCCGATCAGCAGCGGCCTTGCCAGGTGATGCGGGATATCAACGCACCTGGCAATTTGTGGGTCCCCCGCGGCGGTCAATGCAATGCGCACATGAGAAAGGGGATGAATGAAGCAGGAGGTGCAAGTGTCGAATCCAGACGGTTCGGCGTTTGGTCATGGACCTTTCGAAACGCAACCACAAAGCTCTCGCATGAAAGAACGCCGAGAGAGTTACCGAAGACCTCCCGAGGCCGCCGAGGGCCGCTGGAGATTGCCGAAGACCGCCAGAGACACCCGAAGACCGATGGGTACCGGGGGGTCCATGGTTGAACGTGTAAAGACAGCATGACCAGCTGTTGCAGAGTGTGGCTGCCGATCGTCGCGTGCTTCGGCAGTCGCTCCGCTCGCCTCCGCGGGGCGGGCTGCTGTGCTTCAGGAGTGCGAGGCGGCCTTGCCCTGGCGAGTGTGCGCACGTTGCGTTGTCGTTTCCTTATGCGCCCCCCCAATTCGACGGAACGACGGGGAAAAATATGGCGGTTTTCGTTGTTCCCAAACGATGCTTGCAGCTTGCGCAGGGGTATCATTCAGTTTCCAAGTGCAGTGGAGACCCATGCCAAGAAACACCCTGGTCGCCTACAGGGTGCCCCAGGTTTCTTAGGTTTCGATTGTTTTGCGGTGGCAAGCGTGACGCTCCCACACCAAACAATCAATGGACGCCCTGGGGTCTCAGGGTTGGGCTTCTTGTGGCAGGCCTCTTGTGGCCGAGCCCCTGCTGCAACTGGCACGGGACCCCGGGTGCTCGCAGAGGACGCCACTCGCGGGCGCCCCGTGGGCTCCCCGTTGCCTGGCACGGGCTGCCGGCTTCTCGCCGAGATCGCCGCAGGGGGGCGCCGCCGTGGGCCTGCCCCCGGGCGCCGGCTGGCGCTTACACGAGCTTTCGCCAGGGAGGCTCCGCCCGCGGGCGCCTCGCGGGCGCCCCGTGCGCGGGCTGCCGTTCCAGGGGCTTCCCCAGAGACTCGCCCCGGGGCGCCTCGTGGGCGTCTCGTCTCTCGCGCGCTGGTTGGCGCCTCCGGGCTGGATGCCTGTGGGGACCTCTTGGGAGGCTTCTCGTAGGCGTCTTGGAGACGGCTTGGAGGGTTCCTTGGGTTCTTCGGGGCCTCTCGGGGACCTCTTGCGGGCCTCTCGGGCTCTAAGTTGGGCTTGGGCTCCTGTCTGGAGGTCTTCTCGGGGGCCTGCTGGCGGTCTCGGGGATCGTTTTGGGGCGGAGGGCTCGAAATCTCAGTTCGTGTTCCCTGTCTGGGGCCTTCCTGGGGCGGCCGCCTTGGAGCCTCCCTTGGGCCGTCTTGGGGACCAATTGGGCCGTCTTGGGGCGATCAGGGCTGGACCTAGACGCTGTCTTGCTGGACTTCGGCTGTGTTTTCCTTTTCGTTTTGGCAGGGGGTTACAGGAAAACAGGTAGAGCAAAACGAAAAGCAAAACGAATACAAAACGAAAAACAACGTTTAGGTCCAGCCCTGGGGGCGATATTGGAGGCCTTTGGGGCCGTCCTGGAGCGTCGGAAGCCAGAAAGGCGAGAAGGTTGAGATCCTGAGAAAACTTCTGGGGAATCAGTGATGCTTGGCCTCTCGGGGCCCCCTGGAGGGCCACTTGGAGTCCTCTTGGAGAGCCTTGGGCTTCCTGGGCTATCTGGAAGCCATTTTGCGCGCCTTGGAGCCATCTCGGGCGACTCGGAGCCTCCTTGGCCGTCTCAGGGGCTTTGGGGGGCCTTCTTGGCCCCGAAAAGGCACGCGAGGACATGCGCGAAGCCCCGGGAGAGCCGCGACACGCCCTGGGAAATCTAGCATAATATGTGCGCGTATGCATACGATTGCGGGCGGGGTCGTCTGATAATTAGACATGTTCCCTTCCATGTTTCTCTTTCTCTCTCTCTCTCTCTCTCTTTCTCTCGCTCTCTCGCTCTCTCTCTCTCTCTCTCTCTCTCTCTCTCTCTCTCTCTCCATACGTGTACAGAAGTACGTCGTAGATATGCATACAGGTATGGATGTGTTGGTTCACGCGTGTGTGTATATATGCACGATAGATACACAGATATAATATTGTGTGCGCGTGTCAGAGCGAGGGGCCGAACGGTCATTCACTGTCCCTGGGCGCGTGGGGCTGCGCGGTGCGGACTGTTGTTGCGGTGTTGCTGTGGAGTTGAAGCTTCATCTCTAAAGAGCCATGCTTGGTGAGCCCTTTGTCCTGGCGTACATCGTGCCTTTCAGTTAGATTGCTCCTCCCCGGGTTCGCACCCCGTTTTTTGCAGGGGAAGTTTGGGGCGTCAGACTGCGCCCCTGGCCCCCGATTTACTACAACAACAGCAACGGCTCCCGCTTGATATTTCGTCACAACAATTTGAAATTGAGCTATGGCGCGGGAGTTCCTCACAATTTATCCAGGGAATCGCCCTTTCGCGTGGGACTTCCTCGCAATTTGTTGAGACGCCGCGCCCACGACACTCAGGAAACATGCTCCCGCTTTGGACTTCCTGGCGATATCCTTGAGAATCGCGCTATCGCTGGAGACTTCCTCGCGAGTTATGCAGGGCTGACACACACTTCAGCGACCCGGTCGCTCGACCCGGACGTCTGGGCCCGCCTGCCCGACAAGCCCGCTAGCACTCCTGTTCCTAACCCCCTTCCTAATCTCTCTCGTGCTCCATCCTTCTGCCTCTCCCGCGTCCCTCCCTCCTCCCTCCCTCCCCCTGGACGGTGCAATCACAGGCCGCGGGCAACCAGAATTTCGACAGGAGCTCAAAATCTGGATAACAGTTTCGAGATTGTCGATGGAAAGACATGCCCAGCGGATGTGCGCAAGGCGCTCGCCACAGGTACGATGGAAGTATTCCCTCTGCCCGTGTTCTCACCGACAGCGGCTACGATTCCGACAACGAAAGCAAGGAAAACGACAAAGCAGCAGGTGACAACAACAGCGTGGATCTCTCGCAATTTCATGTGACATTGGATGGCGAGTTCTGTAAGGCTCCTGATTTCGCGGGCCAGCGTAGCAAGCGTTCTGGAGGGAATCCAGAGTCCCATCGTTGGGCCCCTCCCACGTCCTCCCTTTCCTCGCCTGCCTCCCCCACCCCCGAGTGAGGCCAGGCCGCTGCCGACACGGCAGCACCCGCTGCCCAGACCGACGCCCAGCCTTACGAGGCCGGGCCCGTCGACATGTTCGGCGAGGATGTCCCCCCCGTTCCTTGTTCCTTTCCTCGCCCCCGCCTCCTCCCCCCCGCCTCCTCCTCCCGTCCTCACAAAGGCCCAGAGAGCTCGAATCGCTGCCAACCGAGCCCGGGCCCGGGCAAGACGCCACCGAATAGCGGCGCCCTGGTCCTTCACGACCTTCCTGTGGCCAGAGCGATAACGGTGAATTCGTCTCTTGGGGTGTTCCTTGTGTTTTCGCCTTCGGTTTTCCCTCTGGAGTTTGCTTGAGAACGGTTTGAACGCCATTCCATCGTCCGCCGCCGCCTCCTTTCTCCTGTTTTGGGGGCTGCGCCAAGTAAACGCGGCAGGCAACGAAGATATACCCCCAGGGGGAAGCAAGATCGAAGACGAAGAGGGCGAGCATCGAGGGTTTGGGATATATGCGATGAATCACACGCGAGCACATAAGAGCGAACTGTCTTGAAATGATCGTTGTTGTCGTCGTCGTCGCCCGCGACCCACCCCGCGACCGACTCCGCTACCTACCCGCGACCCATCCGCGACCCACTCACACTGTTTTGAGGAAGTTTGGCGCCTGCGGCGGGCTCATTGCGCAATGCGTTGAAAAATCAGCGTCTGCGGCTGGTTTCTGCGGAGCTTCGCAGAGTGCCAACGACCCCGCCGCACCCTCACTCACAGTCGCAACTGCTGTGTGCTACGTGTATATATTAATAAGAAGAAGAAGAAGAAGAAGAAGAAGAAGAAGAGGAAGAAGAAGAAGAATAATGTAATCATATATAATAAAAGTAGTAATGATAATAATAAGAATAAGAATAACAACAATAGTAGCAATAATAACAATAATAACAATAATAATAATGATGATGATGACGATGATGATAAGAAGAATAACAGAAATAAAAATGACAATAATAATAATAATGATATTAGTAATAATGATAATAATAAACACACACACACACACGCACACATTCCCCAAACTGTGTTTGCACTTATGAGTTCCTACCTCGGTTCTTAGGAATTGGGCCGCGTCTCCGTTTGGCGACTATGTGGTCGCCGTCGCCGCCCCGTCGCCGTTTCGTCGCCGCCCGTCGTCCTGGCCGTGACTTCGGTCTGGCGGTTATGTGGCCGCGTTCGCCGCCCCGTCGCCGCCTCGTCTCGTCGCCGGCCGTCGTTTGGGCCGTGAGATCGGCCCGGTCTGGCGGCTATGTGTCCGCCGTCGCCGCCCCGTCACCGCCCCGTCGCCGGCCGTCGTCTGGGCCCATCTGCCGGTCTGGCGGCTACGTTGCCGCCGCCACCGCCTCGTCGCCGCCAACATCATTTGCACACCACAAATATTGCACAACATATTTTACCTGCATAGAACCATATAGATTGCACCATATGCAGTGCACCACATAGAGCGCACAATATAGAGCGCACAACATATATTGCACAAAATTGATTGCCCCGCATAGGCTGTACCACCAAATTTGCTTTTCAGAGATTGCACAAATATGGATGTGTAGGACCACATAGACTGCAGCATATACACTGCACAACATAGATTGAGCAGCATAGACTACAACTACACAGCAGAAACTGCACCACAGGAATTCCACATCGTAAGTTCTCCTTTCTTAAAAGAGAATAGAATATACTTCCCACCCCCCTGGGATTATCCGTTCATTTTTCGTATGGCAATTGACATATGATTCTGCCCCGTCGTCCATCCGAAATATGAACTCGTACCATCCCATCCGAGCCTGTATCGGCCCCCCCACCGCCATCCCTTGCAAAAAACACTATGCGCGCGCACTCTTTGATCACAAACCATTAGTTTTCAACAATGCCTTGCAAAAAAAGAGACGAAGTACACGCGCGCGTCGTCGCGCGCGC